AAATTCAAGACCAGTCATAGCAACTTAGGGAGACCTTATCTCAAAATTTAAAAAAGGGGGGGCTGGGAATATAGTCAGTGGAAGAGCACTCTTGGGCTGTACCATTACTGGCCCACAAAGAAAAGAAAAAAGTGCACAGGCAGCTATCTTGTGGTACCAGCCCTTACCTCTTCTCCCTATGACTCTGTTAGTGAATTGTATGATGTTCTCTGATAATTAAATTTACTCCTGCTACCCCTAGGCATATACTTCTGTTCCCCCTTTTGATACTGGAGGTATCTACCTAACCAGACCTACTGCTTTGGGGTAGAGTTTTCTTCTTATAAAGGAATGTCTAATCTGAATCGCATTTTTCAAGCTTCCATATGATTTGAGATGCTTTAGGAAATAGGACTGACGTGGGTGTGTGGAATAGGAGCTGCCTGGGGCTGGAGTGCCCACATGGCTGGGATTTCAGCAGTTGTTAAGATCAAAGGTCCTGCCTCTACCAGAACAGTATTGCATGCCTATAATTCCAGCAGCTCTGAAGGCTGAGGTAGGAGGATTGCAAGTTTAAAGCCAGCCTCAGCAATTTAGCAAGACCCTAAGCAACTCAGAAACACCTTGTCTCTAAATAAAATATAAAAAGTGGCTGGGACTTTGGTTCAGTGGTTAGGTGCCCTGGTTTCAATTCCTGGTACCCCTCCCCACAACAAAACAAAACAAAAACAGAATGAAGTCTACAGCAATGAGGAAGGTGAGCAGATAGCCTAATGAAGGCTCCTCCTTCTTGTCATAGCTTTCCCCTCAAAAAAGCCAATGACTGAGTACAGTTTATCCTAGGGAGGGTCCCACATAGGAGAATAAGAGCCCATTACTCTAAAGAGTCAGGATAGTGGAAGCACAGAGGGAAGAGTTGAAGGAGCCTAGGTGTCTTAATAGGAAGAAAAGATAGAAGGGGTGAGGTGTGTAAGCCTCCTGGGAATGTGGGAAGAGAAAAGACTGTTGAGAGGCAGATAGAAGACTGGCACCATTTTCATATTTTGCCTTGATTTACAGGTAGACTTTAATTTTTTTTAATATTTATTTTTTAGTTTTCGGCGGACACAATATCTTTGTATGTGGTGCTGAGGATCGAACCCGGTCTGCAGGCATGCCAGGTGAGCATGCTACCGCTTGAGCCACATCCCCAGCCCTAGACTTTAAATTTTGCTGTTTGAACTTGGACCATCCCCAGAATACCAACCAGTCACTGTCATCTCCATTTTTTTAAGTCACTATCTAACTCCTTGGTACTGAGAAATGAGCCCACTTATGCTGTTCTTCCTCCCAAAATTATACTCTTGGGATGGCCCTGTCTACCACATTTTCTCCTTTCTCCTCTAAGCCTCTTACCAAGATACCAACTAACCTGGAAGACAGTGGGGACTGAAATAAAGCAGGAAAGGGCAGAGGACAGAGTGGCACTGAGGATTCCAGCTGACATTAGGAGGCTGAAGGCAGACTCCATGCTCATGGTCTGAGAAAAAGGGCATGAAATCAGTGCACTTTGGTACTGGGGATTGAACCTTCCAGCATGCCTAACCTGTGAGCCACATCCCCAGTCCCTTTTATTTTTTTATTTTGAGACAGGTTCTCCCTAAGTTGCTTAGGGTTTCACCAAGTTGCTGAGGCTGGCTTTGAACTTGTGATCCTTCTGCCTTAGCCTCCTGAGTTGTGGGGGTTATGAGTGTGCCACATTGTTCCACTAATTATAGATGTGCCCCTCCGTTTCATTCTTATTGGTGAGTGCCCTCTCCTCTCAACTCCCTCCCCACTCTACTCCGGACACTGTTAATTACCTTTTCTCTCATGACTCCCAGAGTCCTAACTCTGGTTTCTAGGGCCTAATGCTTAAGCCTCTTTTCTATTTCTCCAGTTCTCAAAATAAATGAAACTTGTCTCCTAACGTGGTAGTGGGAGTTGGTACATGTGTGCAAGGGAATGAGGAATTGAGAACAGGGAAAGGGAAACCAGAAGACAATGTCTTCAGCTCTCTAGATCTTGATCCCACAACACTAATTTGGAGGCTGACCTTTCGTCACTCTCAAAGCTGAGCTGAATGCCATTGCTCCCATCATCTCCAACTGTTTCCTCTACTCCTATGCCCTCATCAACTTCACTTCCCTTACCCAATTGCCTGGTTAATACGGACGGGTGTTAGGGTCAGGTCCAGGGCTGGCAGAACTGATGAACTTGGATCATCTCCAGATGTTCCTCTAGCACCTAACCACTGAAACAAAGTCCCAGCCATTTTTTATATTTTATTTAGAGAAAGGATATTTCTGAGTTGCTTAGGGTCTTGCTAAATTGCTGAGGCTGGCTTTAAACTTGCAATCCTCCTACCTCAGCCTTCAGAGCTGCTGGAATTATAGGAGAGAATCCTTGGGTGCAAGAGCGGTACTGCAAGGGCTGATACCCTTCCTTCCACTGGTACAGTCCCTGGATTTCCCTACTGGGCTCTTTACCCTGCCTGCTCATCATGTTCCTCCTTACTTGGTGGGCTACACTCATTGTTGTGCTGTTTATCTTTTTGCCACTGCTCCATATGTTCTACAAGAAACCTGGTGAATGACTGGCAGGTGGTGAGTGAGGAAGTGAACTACAGCAGGAGGCTGACCCCAATAAGAAGCCCAGAGCTATCACCATTAAGTCTCTATTTCTGCTTCTACCTGACAAGCAATGCCTTACCTTTAATCCTTACTTACCACTCCTTCCTCTGTGCAGATGCGAACTGGAGCTCTTAAATCAGGTGGGCACCTATCACATGGCATTGTCCTATTCATGAGCCTGACCAATGTGCAGGGCCATCTTAAGAACTTCTGGTAAGGGAATCTCTAGGGCAGCGGTTGAAAACTGATGGTCTATGAACTGGGATCTGCAAATGAGGTTTGTTCAGAGGGCACAGCATTCACAATTTTCAAAATATATTGCCAACATTTAAGATCCAGGCTTGTTAATTCTGGGCCTCCAACCTACATGATGTACTTTGCCGAAACCAATAGCTGCTGTCCCTGGAGACAAGGCATGTACTTTTCAGTTTGCCACAGTTCCTATTTAATTCACATTATTCTTTATTATGTCACTGGTTCCTGTAGACTTTTGAGTTCTTAATCCTTGCTCTAAACATAAAGGAAATCAGCTTTCTAAATTCTGAGCAGGGCAGTAGAAGAAAAGAAAGGGAACAGAATTCTAGAGGAACAAAAAGGAGACAGAAGAGATGAGTTCTCTATGAAAGGATGGTTCCATGACAAGACAGAAGCCACAAGAGTGAGTTCCCAGCTTCCACTATCATGCCATGAGATGGAGAAGCATCTCTAAAGCCTTTCTTTTGCCCTAAAATTTTAAAATCCCTCAATGGGTGGAGAAGAGTCAAGCATTATTCTCAACATTATACCTTCCTTCCTTTCTATAGGCCTCAGGGCCTGGTGCTAACCCATCCCCCATGCCCATTGAATGTCCAGCACAGGTGAATTCTGTGAGAGCCTTACCAAGAACATGAGTCCCATAATTTGTGGGAATGTGCCCTCTGTAGACTAGAGAAACAAAAAGAGGTGGAGAGAATGACAAGGGAGTGAACATAGAGAATATAAGAACTGTGAGAGGAGAGCAGAAGGGTACTTTAGAGACTTTAGAGGCAGTGCAGTCCTCACCACATTTCTATTTCCCCTTATTAGGAACCCCATGCCATTCAAGAGTCTGAGAATCATGTCAACTGGCTGAATGTCTGGAAGATTCATTCTGCCTATACATCATATCCACCTGCAAGTTTCATTCTGGGACCCACAGTCTCTGCAAGTCATCTGGATTAACTGGATCATTTTTGGTCCTTCCTTTCCCTACCTCTCCCCCTTCTTTCCTCACTGCTCCTCCATTCAGGTCTCAGGTAGACTGAAACCCAACTTTCTGGTCTTTGGGTGTAAGCATAATTGGCTTATGATGCCTGTTATCTGCTGTGGAGTACTATGTAGGCATTCTATAGTAAGTGTGGGATAGAGAAGCAGAAGATGGACATAGAAAGGGTCAGAAATGAATGAGAATGAAAAGGCATATAATCATGATGAGCTTTGTTTTCCCTGGCTTACCAGCAGTGCCTACATAGTACAGGAAAGGTACACCTACTCCAGCTCTTTCTCCTGTATTTGCTTTTATTTCACATACCTCCCTCCTCAAAAGTGATGCCTTTGACCACAACTGTGGTGTCTGCCTCTTAAGGATGCCAGGAAGGTTAAGTTTGGCTGTCCAATATTAATCTCAAGGTGAGTCAAAACAGGTGGGCCTAAGAGAAAGATTAGGTGTGGGAGTATAGAAACTGGCTTTCAAAAGCCAGTGTGAGAGGGCTGGGTGCAGTGGCACACACCAGTAATCCCAGCAACTTGGGAGGCTGAGGCAGGAGGATCATAAGTTAAAAGCCAGCCTCAGGGGTGGGAGGGGAAAGGAGCAGGCATGGGGTTAGAAATGATGGTGAAATGTGATGGACCTTACTATCCAAAGTACATGTATGAAGACACGTGAATATACTTTGTATACCAGAGATATGAAAAACTGTATTCTATATGTACTAAGAATTGTAATGCATTCCGCCATCATA